AATGCTTTTACTGTGCACCCCTAGACCCCACAAAGTTTAATAACAGGCAAGTGACAAATTCAAATGATACCCACCTATAATAATAGCTCGATACTTCAAGTCAAAGATTCATGATACCGACTAATACTAAAACCACTCTCGTCCATAATAAAGGAGATCTTTGTGCTTATCGTACCCTTGAATAAACAACTTTTGAGTTGAGTAATAATTCTGATGTGAGAGACTTTTTTAATAAACAAAACACGAAAAGACGCGTTGGCTGACAGGTCGGTTGGAAATTTTATTTTTCTCTACGAAAATTCGAGTAAATCTCGAAACGATATTATGTAATGTAAAATAAATAAACGCGAAGAAGACTGATTTTGTCAACGAGAAGAGAAACCAGAACTGTGTACACGTACATTTTTATTCAGAAAATCACGTGTCAATTTAAGAGCCATAATGACGTCAATGTAAGTTTTGTCATCTCATCAATTCCATTTAACGTTAAGGGGATGTCTAATCACGTGATAAATGTAAATTGTTGCTGTTTTAGTTATCCTGGGAACTTGGAATTTTCCACTCCATCGAAAATCCTTTCTCAAATATTACTAAGGTACGCAACCAGATCGCGAAATAGCACAAGTCCATTACATAATTCGACAATCACGAAAATTGGGATCATTAATAGTGATGCTGGGACTATCAATACTGGAACTATAAATACCGAACTTTCAACTAGGATGTCATTCACCAGACCGACCTGTATTCCAAAAGATGACGAAGAAGGAGAAATTCACTCTATGATACTTTCCCAATTCACATTTATTGACGTCCGGAACTGAATCCTTTCATAGTCAATCCACAAGCGACGAAGCACGATCGTTACGTTGAAGAGATATTGCGGATCAGACGATTGTTGGTGGAAAAGCACCGATTGGATTGTAAATGGGATTCGTATCAGAGAAAGTCTGACACAATTTTAGCTTGACAAATATCCACCGAAAACGAAGCCAGAATATATGACGTAATTTTATTTTTTTCAATTCTAATGTTAAGGACGGCTTCTTAAGTTCATTAGATGAAAGTATCGTTGAACAGATGCATATTTATATAGGAAGGGAAAAATGAAAAAACGAAAGACAATATGGAGCAAGATATTAAGATATTTCTGGCAATATTATCGATCGTGATATTAAATTCACTAAAGAGAAACTAAAACAACAAAAGAACAACATATACTTCATTTGAGAAGGTCTTTGCGTTGAAATTCGTGAGTCACATGTGAGTATTTATTACTTGACCTTTATCAATAATGTAATGAGAATGACTAATGAGACTAACATTATAGGATAAAACTAATTGAAAATGTGAATTGGCTTCTCGATCCGATGTATGAGAGAACATATATAGTTAATGTTTTAGCGCCCATTCTCTCTGAATTCTTTGCTAAAATTAAACAATATTGGCGTGCTTCGTATGGAGAAACTTGTCTAAAGGCAAGTGCAAAGGATCGTAATTCCGACAAGGCAGATGATGAACGCCGGTTTAACGGAAAAATAATAGATACCATTATTTCCTTAAGAAAAGAAGACAGAGTTCTCAGTTGCACGAGATAAATTAATTATTTAAAAATATTTAAATGATTAAATTAAAAATGATAAAGCATCTTTAACAAAACGCGAAATTTGTTAAGTAATTTATCAAATATGGTATTAGGCCTAATATAAGAATAATATTTTAGTTGGCGACTGCATTTGAAGATTTATGCTCGCTTACAGGAATGAAAGCTTTGGTAGTTGATGCTGAGAAATGGCCTGAAGGTGCTAATGCAAACTTAGAGCTTTTGTGATGTTGATAGATCATAAATAATAGTTTTGGTTATGAGAAAATTATGTGGGAAAGAATTGAGGCAAAATTAGATGATGTTGATGTCGAAAACCTTGGATTTGACCATCCTATATGTTCAGGAGTTCTTAATATTAAATCTGAACCTTTCACAGAGATGTCTGTTTAGATTTTGTGATATTTTTAAGGAACCTTTTCAGGAATATAAGTTAGATCATAATGATTTCATAGTGGATACTTGTATAGAGTTTATCTGTAATGAGAAGTCAAAGATAACTTTGGATGATCAAATTCGAAAGATGGTTAGATAGTTTTGAAAAGCTTCAAAAATGCAGATGAATATTAGAATTCTTGTGTTTATTTTTCTACTGGTTTATAAGATTTTGCTAAATATCCTATATGATTTTTATTCATTATAATCTTTGTAGATTCAAAGTTTGAAAATAGGGTAAAGAGAAAATTTCAGCTAGTATTATATGAAAAGGATCTTATAAATTTGCATAAAAACCTAATTATATGACTATTATGCAACTAGAAAAAGATGTAGAGTTTAAAATAGTATACTTGAAACTGACAGATCAGATTTCAGTTAAAACAAACACTAGCAAGAACACAAAAAATCAGTACGTTTTTTAAAGATTCTATTAGAAAAATATTAAAGTTCAAAATAGTATTTAATCTTTTGTCTAAAAATCAGATATTATCTATATTTGTTATAATATGAAGTGTTTAAACAAAAGTAAATATAAATGATGATCAAATGATAGGTGTGGTATTTTATGCTAAAAATTATGAAGCTATGGAATATCAGAATAAAGATTGAGCAGAATTTGCAATAGGTTTTATTTATGAAATTAATGTAGTTAAAAAAGGATATTTCAATATGTGTTTTATTAAAATGAAATCAAATTTTATATAATATTAGTAAATACATGTTATATATAGCATAGGGAACATTCCTAATTTAGTAATCATCTAACAATCATTGTTGATCATTTTTTGATCATCAATAATAACTATTGATCAATTAAAATTTATATAAAAAAATATAAAAAAAATATAATATATGATAATAAAAATTTATAAAATATATTTATTTAATTAAAAATTTATAAAAATTAAAATAAAGACAAAGAATGAAAGAATTTTTCTTGTGTTAAAAGGGTTTCATCTAATTCATCTACTTTAAATATATCATTATCTTCATCTTCATCTATAATGATTTCTTTTCCATCATCTTCTGATTCTTCTAATGTTTTTTTTGATAATCTATCTATAAAATTTTGAGAAAGTTTTTTAATCTCATCACAAAAATAATTTGTATAAGGTAAGCATACAAAATTTAAAATTTTTAAACAATCACTATGATATGCATGACCACTAATTAAAACTTGTCGCGAATCTTCAGTATCTAATAAAATTGAACATTGATCATAATCACAAAATTTTTTAGTAGAAGGAGATTGATTAGAATTATATCCAGTAGGAAGAAGCATAACATCTACCTTTGTATTTAATGTAGCAAGAAAATATTGTGAATATCTTAATCGTCTTCCTCCTGTACTATATTCAATAATATAACTTTTGTTTTGATTATTATATAATTGAGAAAAAAATTGTAATAAAAAGTCTGCTGTAAGAAAAATCAAATTTTATAATTTTTTGTCCTTTTACGGATATTGTTTTTTTTAAACATAAGTATTATTAAAATTATTCTCTTTACGTAAAGCATCTATAACAAATGCATCTTTTCGAAATCCTTCATAATTTAATATTTTATGTGATGTTTGTCTTCGTAAACTAGAATGAAAATTTTCTACAAAATATTCATTAAAAAATGGAAGATTATCTTGCATACATTTAAAAAGAGAATGTCTAATAGTTTCCCAATAAAAAATATTTGAAAGAAATATCAAAGGTACTTTATTATAATTTTTGCGTCTCATTCTTTGAAAAAGGCACTATAAACGAAATATAGATTCAATATAATAATCAAAAAATCTTTCACGAAAAAGATTTGCATATATTTCAAGTGTTAAAGAAATAAAATTATCTAATAAATCAATAAAAGTATGATATTCTAAATCCTTTGAAGTTTGAAATTTTTGAATAACTTTTGTTTTAATTAAAAGCCAAGCGGAATAAGTAATATGTAAAATCAAATTGATTCTCCAAGGTTTTGGTTTAGCAGCCAACTTTTTCTGTTATCCCATTATTGCTTTCTAAAGTTTATCAAAAAATGGCTAATATTTCATAATAAGAATTTCACAATTATTTAAAGAAACATGAAGAGGACCTAACATAGGAATAATTCCTAAGATTTTATTAGGTATGTTATCATTTCCTTTTAATTTTTGAATAATAGCTGATCGTATATATACTTGTCCTGGAAAATCTACGGAAACTGGAATTACATTTTGTTGTAAATAATTTTTAATTGGAGTAATATTAAATAAAACCTGAAGGGCTTCAAGATATTGTTTGGTTAATTTAAGATCCAATGGAATTAAATCAACAAGCTTAACATATTCCATAGAGCGTTGATTTTTTGTACAATTAATTTGAGGATCATATACATGAACTGTTAACCAATCTTCTAAATCAGTTGGATTCATTTTTGTTATATCTAGAATGTCATACCAGAATAGACGTTGATCAGTATAACTAAAGTCAAAATGTGACATATATTAATAAGTTAAAGTATCACATAAAGCATTAATATCAATTATTAAAGGATTATAAATATATAAATTTTCGTTGATAATTTATTTAATTGCAGAAATTGGTGGTGTATTAACAATAATAGTAGCCATATGAGAAATATGATGAAGAGATGTTGTAGTAAGATGACGAGCTTCATGGATGTCATGATAATCATCTACATTTAAAATACATAAAAATTCCATCTATAAAAAAATCAATTAATTGTTAAATATTAATTTTTATTATTAAAATCAATTAATCTATAATAATATATACATAATTTTGAAAATATTCTAAAAAATTGTTATAATGATTATCTTTAATCCTAACTCTAGTTTGATTAACTGTCTTAAAAGTAGTTAAAATTTCCATATTTGATAAAGTATCAATTCCTTTTTTTGATAGTCCCGAATGTTGAAAAAATAAATCAACATCATGTTTAAGTAAAGTCATTTGTTTATTACGTAAAGAAGCAAGCTGATAACAAAGAACTACAATCCGATTTTTACTAATAGTATTTGTCTTTTCACATTTTCCAGCTGGATTTGTTAATTGATATAACATATCAAAAAATTGGTGTAACTCGGGTGCTTGAAAAGAAACAATATTAAGAAATTTCTCAGGATCATAAATCCTATCACTATTTTGATGATGTTGAAGCCGATACAAAATGTCAGTCATTTTCTTAATACAAGTTTGAAATAATGGAGAAAAAATCGATATATCTAAAAAAAAAAATTAAAAAAATTAATTAATTTGTAAATTATTATAATTGAATTAATTAAATATTATTTATAAAATTACAAACCTTTAGAAATATTAGAGAATTTTTGCATCTCATTTGCCAATTGTACTTGCATATCTAAAACTTGCTCATGTAAAGAATTCAATTTAGATTGTTGTTTTTTAACAATTTTTTGTAAAGAAGCTAATTCCACTTGTTATTGTTCATAAATATTTGTAAGTATAGCGATATTAGTGCTCCTTAAAGCCTGAGGTTAAAATTGAACTGTTGTTAACACTCTCCTCTGTGATGAATGTTCAGTTGCATTAAAGGATTTTAATTGCTGTTTTACTTTTACTATTGGATTACTTATATACTACATATAACACTTATTACAAAGTAAATCACCATCACATAATAAATTTTTGCTTCAGGTAATACACTGTTCTGGATTTTTTGGCAACTTTTCCAACATATCTGTTAAAACTTTTCGCCATTTTAACGAAGATAAGCTGCTGCATTTAATACACTTTGAATTTCAGTTTTCTTTATTTATATATATAATATATGGAGTATAAGTTTAGTCGGGGATTAACTACCCAAATGTAGGATTAAAAAGCGTGCTGTTTCTGTAGTTAATTCTGAACATTTGAACAAAATTTTAATGAATAAACTTATATAATTTAACAAGTTTACCTTTTATGGTTTAGTTTTTATATAAAAAACGTAGTCTATTTTAATTGGCTGAATTAAGAATGATCCTTATGCTATTGTCTCTAAGGAACAATAAATGCATCGTACCTTAGAAACGATAATACCATCGTCCCTAAGGAACAATAAATGCATCGTACCTTAGGAACAATAATACCATCGTCCCTAAGGAATGATAAACCATCCCTAAGAAATGATAAATGCATCATACCTTAGGAATGATAAAACCATCCCTAAGGAACGATAAATATATCGTACCTAAGGAACGATAATACCATTATTCCTAAGGAACGATAAAATAATCCCTAAGGAACGATAATACCATCGTCTCTAAGGAATGATAAAACTATCCCTAAGGAATGATAATACCATCGTCCTAAGGAACGATAATACCATTGTCTCTAAGGAACGATAAAACTATCCCTAAGGAACGATAAATGTATCGTACCTTAAGAACGATAAAACCATCCTTAAGAAATGATAAATACATCGTACTTAAGGAATGATAATACTATTGTCCTAAGGAACGATAATACCATCGTCCTTAAGGAATGATAAAACTATCCCTAAGAAACGATAAATGCATCGTACCTTAGAAACGATAAAACCATCCATAAGGAACAATAAAACTATCATTCCTTAGGTACGATTATACCTATTGTACCTAAGGAACAGTGCAACTGTTCCAATCGGACGTCAATCAGTTATAAATAAGATAGGTCGAATTTTGACTGATTCTTGGCCAATTTCTGATATATGCCAATCGGCTAGGCTGATTTTTGATAATTTTGCTGATTTTAGACTGATTTTAGGCCAATTTAGGCTGATTTTAGGCCAATTTTCACATGTCCGATTTTTTTTTATTTCGATCAGTGCAACATTATAAATATCATAGAAAATTATCTGGCACTTTAATTTATCTTTTAATTTTTTTATAATTTATTTAATAAAA